CGAGTACAAAAATATCCTCCCTATCAGTCTACCCACCGTGTCTACCTAATTCTCATTCAATGTGTCTCCTGGTCTTGACAGATTACGCTAAAACTCTTAAACTAGCTTCCGGAATTCCCGCTTCCTCGTTTGGATCATTGTGTGATTGATCTTCTACCTTTACACCATGTACGGAAGGAAGTACCAAGAACACTTGGTATCGGGGCTGTACGACGCTTTTATGGGAAGCTACGGTTCGTACCTAGTAAACCTAGTAAACGCTTCCTCAATCTTTGGGTCAATTTGAAATTCCTTTCGTTTCTCGAAACACAACACGGCCCTGTTCTAATTTTCTTTTCCTTTAAATACCCAACAAAAGAAGGTCAACTTCTTCAGGTCGTTGAGGAAGGTGCTAGATCTTACCGGGGTTTTATTTTCCTCTTCACTCTTCACTCTTCACTCTTCACTCTTCACTCTTCACCCTGCACCTTTTCTCCTTCCCAATCCTCTTTGGTATATATACCGACTTTTCTCTTTTAATTTATGGGTCAGTCTACATTTTGTACATATCATGGCGGTAATGTATCATGCAAAGTCCCTACTTTCTGCGACATACCACGATGCCCAACATCTTTAAGCAACATCATAGGTGTTTTGTTGTAACCTGTAAGTACTTCTAAAACCCGAAAGATCCACATTTACTTCCTTATCAACGTCGATTATTTCCATATTCAGCTTTACCAACACCAATGCTGCAACCACCACGTCGTTATTTCCATTATGGGACCTTTATGGCGTTAAATTATGACTTCTCATATTTCTCCAGATGGACCCTTTCAAGTATTCACCAATCCTATCTTAGTGATTATTTGAAGATAATGAAGTCCTTATCACCGCCATGGATAATCTGTTGATCTACCGCTTTTTGGATTTGGTTGGGCGCCTTATTTCATAGCAAAATCGTAAATCCTCACATTATACTCTTACCCGGAGATGCTTTTTCCTTTGCGGAAAGGCTGAAGAAGATCTTTGTGATTTCTTGCAGTAACATGCAGCCTCGCCAAGTTATAACGTTGAGGGGTTTAAAACTTTCAAAGGGACGTATCTCTTTTTATGTCGTGATCCGACTCGTTGACTCATGCCACAGATATATGCAAGGCGTATGGTCTCACGTCATTCCCAAAATTTTGATACTGACACAGCATATTTGTGGTGGAGCATGAACCACCAGCTTATTGCGTTCCGTTTCGTCACTCTTCATTTTCGCCTGAATCATGAAGGTAGTTCTCATGTTGACTGGAAGAGTTGGAGTATTACGATGTTGAATAGTAACTTAGGAAGATGCTATTCATGTGCCAAGTTTGATTATCGAAGTTCATACCTATTTATTGAGGATCATCAAGCTGGGAAAGATACGTGCAGTGTTGATTAAACGGCGAGTGCCGAGATGGACCTGAGTTTCATTGAGATTATCTCTATTCAAACTTTCTACATACTCGCCACAGAGCCAAACGTTTTCCGTATGGCCGATAATTTCTTCATATTCTGCACAATCACAAAATCTAGGATATCATGCTAGTGGTGATTTAGCTTCCTCGACAGGTGTCAATACCCGTCATGAAGTCAAAGCGCCACTTTTGGCTGGCAGTAAAAGTCAAATATATGACTACTGTTAATGATGGTGAAGTCAGAGGAACACCTCTAAGTCTCATTTCAAAGAAGTATGGCTATTTGCTAGGGTAGCAAAGGAATATTTGCAATGTCCCCATTTGCACGACAAAATCCTCTTGTTCTTCATTTTTTTGGAGGTATTGATTCGTTCCTACCGAACAGAATAATACTATGAATTTCGTATGGTGGAAACATGTCGGTGGGAGCAGTCAACCAATGTGTTTACATTACTAATTTGTCCAGAGGATTTGGCAACTAATTGTATTTTCAAGAACACCCCTTAGCTCACGCCAAAAGAAAAGTCGACATGCACGAAGGATAGCCAGACAAATACTCACTTCACTCCGACATTGAATCTACACGGCAGATATACTTGGCAAGAAGAACCCTAAAATTCGAGCCCTAAACGCTCATACAATACACCTCATGTTCCCACAACCTTCAACAAGTTCACAAAGGCGTCGTGACGGAGTGGTTAACGTGATTGACTAGAAATCAATTCCTTTCGGGGGCGCATGTTCGAATCATGCCGACGTCGATATCTTTTTGATTCCTACACTTTTGAAATTTTAAAGACTTGATGTATGGGAGAAGCTGTTCTTGCTCGTCTCTATTGCTAATCCCAAAACTGAGTGCGAAATTTGGAATTGTAGGTGGAGAAATTTTCAGCGTATGGATACCAATATGGATACATTGATGTTTTCAAAGCGGAGATACGAATATGCGGATATGGGGCCGGGGATTATAGATCAAATATGGTAGGGCTCCATGTTTTGCCGACATGAAGGGTGAGCGACTGGAAGAGAGAGGTCTGATTAATAAGGTCATGGTGACAAATAATTTTTATGTTTCCTCGAATGATCATGGGTCCCTTCTAGGTGCCCAATACATTGTCATTTTGCACCTGATTGCCTAACCGCCGTCAAGCTCCACCCTAACACCCTCTCATCGTAGGGCAGAGCATGATTGATGAATCATGATAGAGGTAGATGATAGATGATGGATGATGGATGATAGCATCATTAGACACAACAAACCATTCATCATATCCAATTATAATTCTTTGTTTGCTGTAAATGGAAATGAAATGAAATGAAATGCTAAAATGCTAAAACATCAAAAATGCTAAAAATATTTTTATTTCCGATGTATCCCACTTTTTCAAGGCAAGTACTGGATAAGCCAGGGCCAATTGATTACCTAGTAATAATTTATTACGTCATCGTTTTGGATGGCTGACCGTATGGACGGACTGTGTAGTCGCGCGCGTGGTTTTTGTTGGATTTGGTTTTTTTCATTTATTAATTCATAGATAGGCGGGTGTTTGGATAGGGCGTTTGAATGTAAGTGTTTGAATCTAGGTGTTTGAATGTAAAGTGATAGGTAGGTAAATAATGTTGGAAGTTGGAAGGTAAGGGCATCGCGCTTCCCTGGTTTTTTTTTTCTTCTTTTTTTGGTTCTTTTGGGGAAGGGAAAGGATTGGTGTTTTTGGGTTTGGTGTTTATATTCGTGGAAGTTGGTATGCTGCTTGCTGTTTTTCAATGAAATTCTAAAGCGCTCTGGTTATTAGGTAGGTATTTACGGTATTTACGGTATTTACTTTTGAGAAAGAATATTGCAATTGCATGTTATTGGGGTAAGGGCGATACGACGGATTATAATAATAAGGTACGAGATTCGAGATTCGAGATTTGGATTTATAGGTTGAAAGGAGAGGATACGAAAGCAAAGCAAAGCAAAGCAAAGGAAAGGAAAGGAAAGGAAAGGAAAGGAAATTCAGATACAAATGCATACGACATTTACGAGATAAGATTGTGAATAGCTTCGAGTTCGCGATACGGATATTTGTTTGGCAGGACGAAATTCTCTATACGTTTACCTAGTATTTATATCTTCGAAATCACAATCACAATCGAGATCGATACGCGGCAACTCATTCCTTTCGTCCAACAATCTTCCACCTTCGCCCAAAATACGAAATACCGACGCGCGAATAAATACAAATCACTCACTCGGTTCAAGATGTCAATCCTCGATCGTATGAATCCGCTCGGGTACGGAGTTGGACGTACCACGCATGCGATATGGAGATTTTTACAATTCGTCATGGCTCTTACTGTTATTGGATTGTATGGAACTGATCTGGCTAAAGCGAATAGAGAACATAAATATTCGGATGGGAAATGGGTATGTTTTGTTTTCTCCCTCCTCTCATCCTCCCCAAACTCCCATCAAAAACTAACATCCATCCTTCCCAGGTCTACGCCGTAACAACCGCCTCCCTCTCCGCAGCAACCTCTCTCCTCCATCTAATTCCCCTCTTTAACCTCATCCCCGTCCTCTTTCTCTGGGATGCGATCCTATTTATTCTTTGGATTGCCCTCTTTGGTCTCTTTGGAAATATGTATATACATGAGAGAGCGGAAGGAGATGCGGGGGTGCAGAGGATGAAAAATGCCGTTTGGGTGGATTTGGTTAATGCGCTTTTGTGGGCGGGGAGTACGGCGGGCATGGTGCTTTTTTGGAGTAGGGAGAAGAGGACTAGGTGGACGGGGAGGGCGAGTGGGAGAGCTGGTAGTCCGGGGGTTTAGGTGGTGGTGGGATGGAGAGGGGATGAGGGAGGGGAGAATAAGGTATGAGAGAGGATGTGAGGGTTTGGGGGTTATTGATTGAAATATGCTACCAAGTAGCACCTTATCGGTCGATATCGATAGAATCGCCATCTTCATCATCCCCTACAGTGTTCATGGCCCTCCATCAGCTTCCAGCAATCGCGATACCTTCCCAAAAATCAAACACAACACCACAAACAAATCCCATCATCCACTTAACAACCATCTTAAGGAACGAGCATCAATAGGCCATGGCGAGGCAAGAAGGGCAGGATATAAGAAAGACGAGCAACGACGAAGAATGAAATTATCGTGGAGTTTTCCCCTCTAATAAGAAAGTTTCGTTGATTTCACATGGTTTGCGAAATATAATCTTATCTTATCTTATTATTTTTTGATATGGATAGCGGGAGGTGGAAGGTGGAATGGAAACGGAATGGAATGGAATATAGTTACTAGGAGATACCAGATTAGTTAGTTCTTGGTTTTGGTTTTAAGTTGCGGTTTTAGTTGCGGTTGTTACGATACCCTTTCTTGATTGATAATTGATATAGCAATTCACGATTTTTTATCCATCCTCCATCCACTCAACCCAAGAAATAAGATCCGATCCATAAACTACGCCGAAATCTCGCCTGTAAACCCTCCTCCCGCTCCTCTCACTAAAATATAACGCGCATTCCCAGCACAAATTCCGATTATCAAGCACGTGTCACTGGTAATCTTACAAAGAAAATAGCCCGTTTGGCTTAGCGGTAAAGCGCATCACTAGTAGTTTGTCGAAACCCAGTTTATAGAATGATGGGAATTGGTGAATGGATGAATGATGAGATCCTAGGTTCGATTCCTAGAACGGGCAGTGTCTTTTTTTTGTGGGTGGGTGGTTGGGATGGATGGAGAAAACGGGGGTAATTGGTTTTGGGGTTCTTGGAGGGGGGAGAAGGGGGAGAGGGAGGAGGAGGAGGGGGGAGGAGGAGGAGGGGGAGGAGGAGAATTTTTAGGGGGGAAGGGGGAAGTGGGATTTTGAGGAGGATTTTGAGAAGGAGTGTTTTATACGGAGAGGAATAATTGATTGTACAGAGTACTCGAGTAGATATATAAATAGTTGTTGACCAGAGATATTATTCATATCTATTTAGATTCAATTCCTAACGCCGGCTTTCGTGATAAAGTGGGTTTTTGTATTTATTCATTGTGTTTTCTATAGTAGATAAGTGATGGGGATTTTTGGAATATTTATATTTGTTTTATTTGGAGATTTATACGATAAAGCGTGTCACGGTTCGAAGGATTATATAAGCCGATCATTCGATCGGGTCCCGAGCGCTAGTCGCTCGAGGTCGATCACATGTCTGTAGCTATAGATAATCCTTTTGGGGTTATCGATTTTTTGTTTTCTAGTTATAGATTCTAAGGATAATTGAACTCTGATTTCTCGGCTCTTTCCTACAATTGTATTACATTTCCTATACAAAATAAGCGATTTTTTTGAACTTTTTTGCTTTTTTGACTTCGAATATATATAATTTCAAAACAAAAATATATAAAAATATTCTATTTAATTTTTACTAAATTTTAATTGATTATCTCTATATAAATATAAATTTTGATGAATTATCTTCATTCTTTATATAAAAAGCAAGAGTGTGAGAAGTTGAAAATTCGTCAATTTTGGTGTGATTTCGCTTAGTGTGCGGTGAGTCCGGACCAGAACTCTTATGTGGCACCACAAAGTACTTTGTATTCCTTAAATTAAGCCTTCCCTGTGATATCTCTCCCTCTCTCTGCCCGCGTATAGAATATCCGTCGTCCGCTTGCCCCACCAAACAGCGACCTCGTAATTCGGCACCCTGCGGTCTCTCTTTGTACAAGTCGTATCATCAGTACGCAGAGCGTGATATTCAAAACTGATACTGACCTTGAAGAAACAACAGATATGCTAGACCCAGTTTAACTTACATAAAACGCGAGCCTAGTGGGTGCAAGTTGGTCCGGCACACGCATTATCTCCCGTCGTGATATGATCTCACTGGTGGCATTTCCAGCTAAACCGTCTGTACACCTACCTTTATCATGCACTGATGCCGGTTGCCATGACTGGCCATGATGTGTATAGCATCAATCAGGTTGTGATAAACATCAGAGGAATGAATCGTTGTTTGAGAGAGTTAGGATGGTGTATATATTTTTGCTAACTCGAATTCTCTAAGATCATGTCCTTGATTTTTGCAGTCGCGAGATTATCCCCAATCATAGTATCCATATACTCAGCTGCCACCCAGCCTTCTGTACGACCTCCATTAAAATCTAACACTACCAGATTATCATCTTGATCGACGAGGATATTATCGGGCTTTGCATCCCCCCAGACGATGCCTTCTTGATGAATTTCGTCCACAGTTTTTTGAAGTTGCGAGATCCACTTATGTTTCAAGGATGCTGACGGCAACTTTTTCATCACATCTGGTAATGTTTCCCCCTTGATGAAGTGTGTGAGGAAACCGAGTATAGGACCATCAGAAGTATCTTGGACAACAGCATAGAGTTGTGGTATTCGATTTTCCTTCCCCAAAACTGTATTCTTTAACTTGAATAGAATTCCGATCTCACTTTCCAAGCTCTCTCTATCCAGAGCTTCCTTAAAATAGTATTCCCCCAAGTTTTCCACGAGAACTTTCGATGGTCCATGAGCCAATGCGAATTCCATCAAAAGAGGATTTGGTACAATAATGACCTGGGATGAAGCGATTCGTTTTATATCAGGGTAAGTATTAGAAGGGAACGAGATACTTGGCGTGAATTGAGCTTCTATTTTGGTATCAAAAGTCATTAGCTCTATTTTTGGCTTTCCATTGACATCAGCCAGTCTGCGAAGACTGAACTTCGCTGCGGGCCAGAAATATTCCTGTAAGCTCAAAGGCTTGAACGTTGTTGGAGCTTGCGCCAATTGCTGGAAAAGTGGAATACATGGTTCTGCCATCCAATCGTAGAGGGCCTCTATATCATTGTCGACATTTTCGACAATTTGTTCGAATTCTTGGGCCGACGAGCCTTGTACCTCCGAGGTAAATGGCTCATGAAATCTTTATTTCTTCAGTCTGAACATGTTTCTTGTCCTTCATCAACTCATCTTCGCATTGCAAAGCCTCGACAAGCTCTGTGCTAGTCACGACTATATCTGTTGGAAGGCCATATCTCGAAAACTGCTTGGCACACTGCTCAGAGGATGCTTGCTCAAAGCTACTTTTGATATCGAGTTCTATAGAGTACCATTAGAATATCAGGGCTTCGAAACCGATGAGGACAACTTACTATCGGGTTATATCTTTACTCTTTCATTTTTTGTAATTGTATCTTCAAAATGCACGACTTGCTTGCCAAACAATTCCTTTCGCCGTCTCAAGATCCCTAAAAGTGCCATTTTTGAGTCTTCAGAATCGGAATAATGAACTCGAGTACCACATCAATATGGCATTGAAGATACGATCGACCGATCCGACGCCTATCGAGCCTCATTGTAAGCCGTATCCTATACCGAAGATAAACAAAAACGAACCTTATTAAGATCTAGGACCACTGAATACTTGATCTAATCTTGAAGGTAGTATTCGATAACCGCCTGTGTAGTTTCTTTCCACAAACTCGGATAATTCTCAACCAAATCATGTCGGATGGGTGTTTTAGCGTTATGTGGTAGAATACTCTAAAGTTTACCTTCAGCTAATGTCCTTCCATCGGGCAAACTACTCAGAATATATGCTCGAGGTGAGGAAGCTTGAAAGCCATTAGATTAATCGTTTTGGCTTGAGAAACTTCAATATCAAATGGGATTTGGTCACGGAATTTGTGATAGCAAGTAAAGCCTCCGGATAGAGCAACCTTGATGGAGTCAAGAACACCCAAATGAGCAGACACAACTTCGGCACCAATTCTTAATAGAGCTTGAGCGGGAGACTTTGTAGGGTCAGGGTTACGGCCCGACTCGGTGAGTATTAGAAAGTGAGTCAGAATTGTTAGTATGCAAAACATTTGCAGAATGAGTTAATGGTCTTTGACATGACCCTAAGATCATTCTACGGTAAGAAAAAGATGACAACACCAAAAAGCCAAGAACACTCCTGAAGTAGGTAGACACTTTTAATGGATATTTTGTACTCGGGTCCATAGCTTTGGAGACAATGTGTTGTTGTCACATTCTTTATTGTTGGGCTCCGGTAGCTTGATATGATAAAGTTGTTAAGGAGGTACGAGTATGCTAGTACTATCACAGCTAGCGTCAACATCTTCGGAGATCTTCCCCACAAACACCGATCAATTTTCTAATTTCACCATCACAATAACAACAACAACAACAACTAATTATTGCCTGCCCAAGTGGAAGACCAAAAGATTATCTCAGAAAGCAATATCAATTTATCAAATAGTGAGGAGAAGATTTTAAGACCTCCGCGGAATATTCAGCATCTCATCTTTTATCCAATCAAATGCAATCAAATATTGTCCCTTTCAATGTGATAAATCTTACAATATCACCTAACTCCGATATTCTATCAGATTTTAGTCCGACAAACATCTCCGAAACCCCATCAGATCACATTATTTCTGGAAGTGCTATGCGCAAACGCGTCTATTTCTCAATCTTTGGGAACGTATCTTGGCAAATACCAACAAGAATTGTATAATTTTTCGGGATCATTGAGCATTATGGCCGATTCAATTTACCCACACTCCTTTTGCTTTCCAATCTGGCACGGAATCATGTCGTTCGGCACGGCACATGAAAGACAGGCTGGAAGTATCCTAACTTCGTTTGCTTATATATTGATATAATATTTCCTACTCCAATGTTTCATTATCTTTTTTACTCTTCATTTTTTCAACCTCATTCACGTTTTCATTCACATGTACTGTGAGAGTTGTGGAAACCCAACAATGTCTTCAAGTACAACAGAAACTGCTTCCCAACCAGGTAGAAACTCCACACTCGCCTCCTCAACCTCATCCTTAGATGACAAACCTGTGAGACTCGAACGATCGGAGGGGGATGCCTTTACAACAGATTCAGAGAAGGGTCCAATATACAGCAGTCCACCCTCTGAGCCGGGACAAGTGAGAACAGTTACTGGTTGGAAATGGATTGTCATTTGTGTTGGTTTCTATGTCGCTACTTTCTTGTATGGCTTGGACAATACTATTGCCGCTGATATTCAATCTGCTGTACTCGGAACTTATGGTGATATTTCAAAGTTATCTTGGTTGGGTACTGGTTTCCCGCTAGGGTCTATTGCTACGATCCTTACTATGTAAGTATGACATCCTTTGATGATCACGTAGATACTAATTATATTCTTAGTGGTAAAGCTTATAGTACTTTCAATGTCAAGTGGACCCATGTCGTTTCAGTCGTCATCTTCATCGTTGGTAGTGCTGTATGCGGTGCTGCTCCAAACATGAATGCGCTCATTGTTGGAAGAGTGATTGCTGGTGTAGGAGGAGCTGGCATGTACCTCGGAACCTTGAATTTGGTCGCCATCAATACTACCATTCAAGAACGTCCCCTTTATCTTGGAGGCGTTGGTATTACTTGGGGTCTTGGAACGATTCTTGGCCCTGTGATTGGAGGAGCTTTCGCAGATTCAGGAGCAACCTGGAGATGGGTGAGTATCCTGCTAAAAAGTTAACTCACAAATACTAACAGCCTGATTAGGCTTTCTATATCAATCTCGTCATCTTTGGTATCGCAGTGCCTGCTCTCCTTCTGATCCCATCATTCGATCCACAGCCTGACCTAGACATACTCCACAAAGTCAAGCATGTTGACTGGATTGGAGCTCTATTGAACGCTGGTCTCTTTACCTC